GAAGTACCTACAAAATAAATTTGCTTTGGAAGCAAATTTCAGTAATAAAATAATACTTCTCACTTATTAAAATATATATTTTGCTTTTACCTATGGTTTAGCAACTTACATCAAAAAATTCAAGAGATCTTATGAACATTTGCAAATAAATATTTTAAAACACTAGTATATAAGTAAGTCAGCTGGTATTCATTTAGGTGTTTGGATGTCAATAGTTAGCAAAGGGAACAAATAATAAACCATAAACTACTTACTTATAAAATTGTCCTCTAACATAAGAATACAAAACATTGTTGAGAATGAAGTTTTCTGAACAGCACATATCAATGAAACATGTGTTATCCTTTTGCAAATCTTAGTTAAATAGAAGCCAATAGTACTATTTTTTAAGACATTAAATTAATAACCTAAGATTTCTAGTGTTTACCATAATCTCTCTTTTCATTTAAATCATTTTTGTAAAAAAACAAGTCATTGTACAGAAAACAATGTTTACTATGAATAATAAAATCACTTCAGAAAAAAAGTGAATTAATGAAAACTGCTTTAACTCATTTACTATGCCCAAAATTGCCACCTGAATACTTGGCTCCAATAAGAATAAATTAAAATGTCTGTTGCACAGCAAAAGAAACCATCAACAAAATGAAAAGACAACCCACTGAATGGAATAAGATATTTGCCAATGATACACCCAAAACTTATAAAAAACATAAAACTCAAAATCACAAGAACAATCCAATTATAAAATGGGCAAAGGACCTGAATAGACACTTCTCCAAAGAGGACATACAGATGGCCAATAGACATATGAAAAGATGCTAAACATTACTAATCATCAGAGAGATGCAAATTCAAACCATAATGAGATATTACCTCACATCTGTCAGAATGGCAATCATCAATAAAACAACAAACAACAAGTGGTGGAGAGGATGTGGAGAAAAGGGAACCCTCGTGCACTCTTGGTGGGAGTGCAGATTGGTGTAGCCACTGTGAAAAGCAGTATGGAGTTACCTCAAAAAATTAAAAAATGGAACTGCCTTATAACCTAGCAATTCCACATCTGGGAATCTATCTGAAGAATCCCAAAACACAGATTAGAAAGAATATATGCACCCCTATGTTCACTGTAACATTATTTACAATAGCCAAGATTTGGAAGCAGCCCAGTAGATGAGTGGATAAAAAAGCTGTGGTACATTTACACAATAGAATACTACTCGACCATAAAAAAAACAAAAACAAAATCTTACCTTTTGTGACAGTATGAATGGACCTGGAGAATATTATGCTATGAGTCAGTGAAATAAGTCAGTCAGAGAAAGACAAGTACCATACAATTTCACTTATATGTGGAATCTAATGAACAAAATAAACTAACAAAATAGAAACAGACTCATAGATACAGAGAACAGACTGACAGCTGTCAGACAGGAAGAAGGGTTGGGGGACTGGGTAAAAAAAGTGAAGGATTATGAAAAAACCTCATAGACATAGACAACAATTTGGTGAGAAAAAGGGTGGTGGGAGGAGGTAGAAGAGGGTAAAGAGGGAATAAATGGTAATGGAAGGAGACTTGACTTGGGGTGGTGAACACAATTCAATGTACAGATGATGTATTATAGAATTGTATACCTCAAAGCTATATAATTTTACCAACCAATGTCATCCCAATAAATTCTATTTTTAAAAATGTCTACATGATTTCCAAAGCAGGGAGAAGCATCCCTTCTGATTGAAAAAGACCTTCCAGCCTTTCAAATTAACGTAATTCCTTTAAAACTGAAGTAAGCGATGTCCTTTAACATGTTCATTGTATCCAACTTCTCTGGCTATCGGTTCTGTTACACTGAGACCAACTTTTTCTCCCTACATGGTACCAGACTACCAATAATTAAAACCAATATCCTAGAAAATATCAAGTAACAATAAAATGAAAGTCCCTGCTTGCATGTGTCAGCATCCCTTATATTCATCTTTTAAATTATGTGTTTCTAAGTACTGGGTTAACATACAAGGTATATTAATATGCAACAAGTCTTATTTAATGAAGTTTGGTACTCAAGTCTCTTGAGTTTTCCTAGTAACTGTCCAATCTATAGGTGTCTGTGTGACTTCTTCGTTAGTGAACTACAGTGGGGTGCCTGCTTTTCCATGCAATGTCGAGTTACAGGATTGCTACACATTTATGAACTGGACAGAATGGGGTTGGACTTCCTCTGACCCTATGTCTACCTCTCCCTTTGGATGGATCAGGCCATGTACCTGCTCAGTCTTCTCCATCCACTTAAACAGTCCTTCCATCATTTCTTCCTGTAGTTCCGACATTATGAACAGACTGGTGTGGCCGTCAGCACCATCCAGGTCAGACAGCAACTGCTCAACACAGAAGAGTCTCTCCTGGTAACTGCTGATGTGTCCTTTTTATTACATTTCAAGTTCAACTTTCTGAAGTAACTCAAGCTAACAGAAGGTGTACAAAGGATAAAACTAGCAACAATGAGAAGCAGGAATAGGGTTTCACAATAAGTGCTTGACAAATAAAGAAAAAATATGTAAATAATTGGTCTGGGAAGGGGAAACAACCTGGAGGAAATCCCGCATCCCTGAGAGAAGAGTGTAAAGCTTGTCTGTTTAATATTTGTGTGGTGTTTTCTGTCTATTTATCTATCTACCTGTGCATTTGATCAAGAAATGTCTCACGAGATTAAGATATGTCAATTATATGTATGCATTTTACTTAGGTATCATACATATTAGGAATAATAATAGGCAGCAAAGGCATAAAATATATAACTTTAAATAAACTACCTGCCAAATTATTCTGTAAGTGGATAACTAGTACCTAAAAATTATTCTGTAAGTGGATAACTAGTACCTTAAAATCTTTAAATAGTAATAATTGGTCTAGCTGAGTTAATGCTGAAACATTGATAATATAAAGGAATGAAAGGTTCAGGGATTGAAAAATTTCAGAATAATGTTAAACTTATAAAAATATTATTTTAATCATAAAGTCTACTAAGTCCCAAAGTTGAGAGTCACTTCCTCTACAACTCTAACAGTGTGTGATGTTGCATCTGAAAAAGTAGGGAAATTCAGATTAAAATAGTAATCTTAAAAAAATCAATTCTCTTAATTTAGTATGTAAGGAGCTCTGGTGGGTAGGAAAGGAATCATGTTCAAATGTGCCAATGACCTTGATCATCTGCAGAACAGGATGAAATGAAAGTTTATGGGTACTAAAGCAGAAAAGGTAAATCCCACCAATATATATTTGAACCACAATTGACAACATGGTGACTGGATGATCATATTAAAAAGCCAGAGCTCCGGGCAGCCCAGTATTAGGAGACCCCTAAATAGAACTGCAGCATGTGTGAGTGCTCCCCACACGCAGCATCCTTCCAACATGTGTCACCAGCCATGTTTCAAGTGCTCAACCACCACATGTGGCCAGTAGCTACCATACTGTGCAGAGCAGGACTGAAGGAGAAACACTATTCAGAGATCAGGGAGGATGAGACAATTTTCCAAGATCCACTCCAGGCCTGATGAATCCCCAAATCTTCGGCATCAAAATGATCACTGGAATCTTCGTTAACTCATTTTCACTAAATGTATTTGAATTTTTGATTTATAAATACTTAGAGAACAGGAAGAAACAAAAATATTTTTTAAAGTCAATGGAGAATTGAGTAATTCCAGTTGGTCACAAAGACTTTTTTTTAAATCGTTATGTCTAATGTGCAAAAGCAGGAAAGCATCTATTTGAAAACATCAACAGACTCATTTAAAGAAATGGGTGAGAATTGGAACCATAATGAGTATTAATAGCAGAGGCTATTGGTGCATATCAAAATGTAACTACCTTTAAACATAGCTTCAAAAGAGGAAACACTTTTCTTTGAAAGGGGACAACTTTCATCTTTACATCTTTACACATCCCACCGATTTGAAGCCCTACTCAGAGACTGATGGGGTGTTTTAACCTCAAAGTTAAACCATTAGCTTCCAGGCCAGGTTGGAATGTTAATCACAGAGCTCTGCTAGACTACAACTTTGCCAAAGAGATGGTTCTGCTGTTGGATTGTTTCAGTGACTTAAAATCTTGGATGCTGATTGATCTGGAATTCACCTTCTTACAGTTTGGACCCACTTGCCAAAGAGATAGAAAATCAATGGACTCTCTTTTCCTATGTAACTTGGGCCTTCTTGTATCCAGGAGAAGCACAGAAACCTTAAAATGTCCATAAAAGAGCTTATGCAGTTAATCTTCTGTTAGTTGTCAAGCGGACGTCATGCCCACATTGCCACCATCCTACCAAGCATAACCTCTACTTGAGTCTTAAAATTACACAGCACCAATCAGAACTCTGGTTCTCCCTTTTTTTTTAAAAAGAAAGGCAATTAAACCAAGAACTACACAAATTGCACAAACTGTCAGACACGTTGGCAGCCCAACTCTCCCACATATGTCCCTCAAAACATTAGATAAAACATTGTCACTTCAGTACTCATTCTATAGAGAACACCCTGAATCACAAACTAACTCCAAAAATGCAATATGAGCTGATGGCACAAGACACCGGTGTCATAATATCTTAAACATGGCAGGAAACAGATTAATATTTGTACCATTAGTGATATTACAGCACTTAAAAATCCATTGGGTAGATTAACCATAAAAACAATAGGAAGTAACAATAAAAATAAAATTTAAAAAATAAACTAGCGAAATTTTAAATAGATATGAATCACATATTTTTATAATGCAGAGTTCAAATAAAATAAAAATAACTACTATTGGCTTTTGTTTTCATTTTATACCAAAAGGAGAATTTTTATTACTGACTTTCACTGACTGACAGCTTCTCGCAGAAATAATGTGGATGTTTTTACTTTAAAAACAATAATGCTACCAAAGCTCTTCTAAGGAATTATAAACATTTTCCCCGGTTATATAAAAAATAATTATTAAACATGTTTTCCACTACTAGTTGTAATGACAGTTTATTTTATTTCCTCTTTTGTCTGGACCTGCAGTAAGTTACATAATGCATTTAATAGCACATATTCAGATCTTCCACCATACCATCTGACTCGAACTGTATTAACATCTTCCGCTGGACATACATCCTCAGTATTGGACAAATACCTTAAAGAAAACAAGGTAAACACCTGCGAGGACAGGCTCATGTCACAGGGAATAAGTAGCAAGAAATAAATTTGCAATCTGGGCCACTGTCAGTGTCAGATACATGAATACATTGAAAGGTGATAGAATTTCCATGCTTTTCTCCTTTTACATCAGAGAACACAGACTCAGCCAATACCTCTGTACCGATACTATAATTGGTGCATAAAAACCATGATCATTACAACTCATGTTCATATGGCCTTTCACAGTTCACACAAAGCCACGCATATGACTCTGCATTATCTGACTGAGCCCTCACAAGCACCACGCTCTGTGAGGCTATCCCCATTAGGGAAACTGAGTCCCAGAAGAGGTGAATGGCTTGCTGCAGGGTGAGGAACTACCAACTAATAGAGATGAGCTCCTGGCTCCCAATCTTAGGCGGTTTCTGTTAAACTGCATAGGCTTCCATGACAAGTTAGTCTTCAAAACAGAGGCAGAAATAGGACAAAACCCTGACTCATGGATTCCCAAATTGTTTTCCTCGCTCAGAATACAAACTGGTCCCTATTCACAAAACATACATATTTGGGGGTTGGGGGTTGATGACTGCAAAATAAAAACATACTCTACGTGGGAGTGACTCGGATTAAACATTTTAACATTGTTTGCTGAAAATAAATACCTAAAATACTGACAAGTTCTAAAACTGAAGGAGACCTTGATAATCATCTCTGTTCTTTTTCCATTTTACAGAGAGCGGGGGCTCCATCAAGGTCACTCTGGTAACTGCTAACCAGTAGCAGAGCCAGGACCGCATGGAGTCGGACTCTCTCCCACTCAATGTCCCGACTGCATTTCCAAAATGAAAGGACTAAACACAGTCCAGATATTTACAAGGAACCGTCACAGTGCTAGAGAGATTAGAAAATTAGATCTTACTCACCAACGTCATGAATGTAAAAATTATTAATATTTTACATATCATTTAAAGCAGCAGGAACTTTGCTTCATATAAGAAAAATAATCAATGTATATATATATTTCAGGCTATCATTGCTAAGGATATTGTCTAAAATATAACTTTTTCTTCCCTTTAGATACACATTTTTTAAATTTTTGTTATTTATAATAGACTTAAGTACATTCAAAAACAGGATAGTCTCTCAAAAATGCCACCACATTTAATTTACATGATGAATAAAAAAAAAACACTAACAATATTTCACCATCTCTGCTAGATACAGGTCTTTTCAACCTTTTAACTACATGATTCCATCCCTGTTCACACCACTGCCTGTCTTTTTCAGGATTCTTCAGGAGGTTACTAAGCTATTTCGAATGTAAGTGATTTTATTTCCCCTCTGAAATTTAAATTCTAGGCAACAAAATAACTCTGAAGTTTAACTGACCAACAAATCTAAAAATGGCTCAACTTGTAAGCCATTTGCTACTTAAACAATATTAATTTCCATATTAAAAAAAAATAAATAATCTGATTAGGCTTTATTGTACCTGTGAGTCCTTTAAAAGACTTCCCCTCTCCAATTGAAATCTAATATGAAATTCTTTTTGAAGAGGCAAAATATAAGAATTTTCTAGATAGTACTGAACATTATTCCATGGGGGGGGGGGGGGGACATTCATGTAGAACAACAGTAAACCACACGCATGATAGAAAATATTGACAATAAAATTATTTTTTTCTCTCATTCACAAGATCACTTTTCCACTTTAATACAAGGGCTAATCTATAGCAGATGTGGGTTAACGGAGGGGCGATCATCCATCCTCCAGGCTCTGATCAGTGTGAGGAAGGCTTTCTCCAGAGCTGAAGAGCTGCCTGAATTCTGAAGTGCAGTCTAGACTCCATGGAGTAATCTTTGTAGTTGTTTCTAAAGAAAATAACAACAAAATCGAAATGTCAAAAGTTCTTCTATACCCGACCACCACCACCATCCTCCCCTCCTCTCATATTCACTCATTTGCTTTCAAACTTGACTATGCCTAACAGTCAATATTGTTAAAATGTAGATGGCGTCCTGTGAAGAGAGGGGGATGGCAATATTCTTTGTTTCTAGAAGTTTCCTGGTGAGGACCTAAAAGTCAGACTTTGAGTACCAAGTTTCTACTTCACTACCAAGCCGTTCACAAACACCGCAAGAAGATTATGAGGAGGGCTTAACAATTTCGTGAACTATTCTTAAACAGCTGACCTCCTTTTCTGAACTGGAAATGCTAAGGCAGCCTCATACAAACGAGGCGAACTTGATGGATCACAGCTTCCTCCAAATAATTATCTTGAGACTCCCATGAAACAACAACAGCAGCAAAGACAGCAGGATTACCCCGTGATACCAAAATCACTTACGCCAATTCTCACAAGCAAATAGCAACGGTTTGGCCAATGATTACTGTATAGCAATGTCAGAAGGGGCCAGGCCATTAAAATCCACAGATGATGTAAAAACTTTACTGAGATCATTCATGACTTCTCTTTGCTAGAATTGTTAAGAGTAATCAAAGTGGAATGGCTTCGACTTTGGGCTCCTGCTTTCACCCATTGCTTTGGCCCATGGGTGAGCTGTAACTTCTTTCTTTGCAGTGGGATTTCTTTCTTTCCACAGCCCTTCATTCTATGCAGATCTAAGTACTACTTACTGGTAACCCTGAAAAGGGTTATTATTCATAGTCAGGGTCATTATTCATAAGCTAAATCAACATCTTACTAGAGTTTACCAAAGGATATAATTGAGTATTTTCCTAAATGTCTGGTCATAAATTTTAGCACCTTTGCAAGGCTCCTACTACATAAGGGGAACTACAGACAATTGTCCTGGAATTACTGGGAAGACTGTTTATGTTGGCATCATCAGCACTGGCTTGAGTTAGTGGTGACTTTTGATCACTGCTGGTCTTGTTTTTCAGTAGTGAATTATTAGTCTTTCATTTTCATCATTACAAATTTGCCTTATTATGTGCTACTTAGGTAACATTAAATATGTACAAATAATGAATACTTGGAATGATAGTATTTATAGTCCCTAATTTTCCATGAGCTACATCTCATGACACATACATGTCAGTTGAAATGTGTCATTATCGCTCCCAACAAATTAATTTTTTAAAAGTGATTTGTTCTCATATCTCTCATTAACAAGGAGAAAAATGAGGAGGAGGAGGAGGAGGAGGAGGAGAAAGAGGGGGAAGAAGGAAGAAGGAGGAGGAGGAAGAATAAAGGAAGAAGGAAGAAGGGAGGAGGAGGAAGAAGAAGGCGGCTTCCTTGGCTCCACCATGCCCCTGGAGCTTCTGCCCCATTATTGTGTTTTCAGGAAAAACATCCTGAAAGAGTTCAAGTTCACTTCTCTAGTCTCACTTTAGTGGACCTCTCAGCAGCTAGCTTTACAACTAACCACTGTCTTCTTTTAAACACTTTGTTCACTTGGCTTTCCTGGATGTCATCCTGACTCAGTGGCCATTTCTCCTTACTCTTATTGTTTATTCTCATTAAAATGATACCATATCCCAAGGCTGTGTGCTGGACCTCTCTCTCTCTCTCTCTCTCTCTTTCCCAAAATGACCTCATCAAGTATCATGTCTTCAAATACCTCTGCGTCTGTGCTGGTGACTTTGAAATCTCCACATGTGGCATTTACCTTTCCACTGAACTCCATGCTTCTACAGTTGACTCCCAACTCGCCATCTCCATGTGGATACCTCGTAGGCTCCTCAAAACATCATGGTCCAAACAGAAGTATTTTTTAATCTCCCCAAACCCTCTAAGGATTCCCCATCTCAATAAAAATGATGATTCCCCATCATCATTATTGACCTAGTGGCTCCGCTCCCTAGCCTGGAGGTTACTTAGCTGTGGTTCCAGACAGGAATGTGCCCCTCGCAGCCTTCTGCTGACTGATCTCAGGACTGGCTCTGCTTAGGCAAATATCAACTACAACATCAACTCTGCAAGAAGACCTTCCAGAATCAACCCAACCTAAAGCCACAGCCAGGTACTTTGTATCAGAATGTGAGTCTCAGCAAAACACATACCACTGCTATTTTTTTACTTGCTCATTTAATATCTCCCTCCTACTGAGAAAGTAGGAACATTGTCGGTTTATGTACAGTTGTCTCTCTAGAGCAGGGGTCCTCAAACTTTTTAAACAGGGGGCCAGTTCACTGTCCCTCAGACCGTTGGAGGGCCAGACTATAGTTTAAAAAAAAACTATGAACAAATTCCTAGGCACACTGCACATATCTTATTTTGAAGTAAAAAAACAAAACGGGAACAAATACAATATTTGTATTTGCATGTGGCCCGCGGGCCGTAGTTTGAGGACCCCTGCTCTAGAGCCTTTACTATGCTGGGCACATAAGAGGTGCTCAGTGAATATTTGCTAAATTTGAGTAAATGACCAAACCAACAAACCACTAAGCTATTTATGGCCTAAAGCTACCCATGGCATTCTCTACCCACTGCAAGAAGTGTTCAAGACAAACAGACCATGATCACATGTCTGTGAGCCATTATGTAGTAGAAATGATAATATGTGCTTCGAAATGGCCAGAGTAGACAGAAAATAGAGAGAGCCAGGGGAAGATTCAAAAAGCTTCTTCAAGGAAATTAGAAAAGGTCGGCAAATTATTATCAAGTTTATGGCTAAATCTGGACGCACCCACTTATTTCTATACCATCTCCTATGGCTGCTTTCGATACCATTGAGTAGCTGCAGTGGAGACCTCACACTGTAAAGCCAAAAATACTTTCTCTCTGGCCCTTTAGGAACAGTTTGCCGACCTCTGATATAGAATAGATTAGACTAGATATCTGTCAGACAGAAGCCCACAACCACAACCTCTGTAAACGGTCACAGGGCCAGGCACTCAGAAGGTTGAAAACAGCACAATTGCAGCAAAAGCCAAGAGCATAAACGAAGCATAAGTTAGCAAAGGTAGCGTTGTAACTACCTTTCGTTCATGTTTTAAGTGTGCATGTACTATCACTGCTGCTATAATGGTACGGACATTCCTAACTCCACAGCCACCCCAGAGGAGCTGCCATCACCACTCACCTTGCAGTTTCCAGGACCTTAAAGGCCTTGTCAATGTCCCCTTGGCTTTTGTGCAAAAACGCCAACTCAAACAGAGTAAATGGCACCAGGTAGTGGTCAAACTTCAGCAGGTTTTCACTAAAAGAACGAGCGGAAAGCAATTCAGTCTCAACAGAACAAGAAGGGTGTCATTCTTTTTCAGCATACGTATTTCAGCATTCCCCATTTCCCATAAAACCGGTGTTTAGCAGCATGATTTTCAGAGAAAAGCTGTCATTATACAAAATTTACTCAAAGAATCTAATAAACTATAGCAATACACAGTATGCTTTTACTATATTAATCTCTTATTTTATTCCTTAGTCTGAACTGGATTATTTACTGCCCCTTAGGAATATGAACACATATGGGCTATCATCTTCAAAGCCTAACCCTGGAAAGGACAAGATCATACTCCTGAACATAAATATTTAAAAATAAGAATGCTGTATTGTTTTTTATGAAGGGTCACTTCGACTTGTTACGTCTTATGCTAAAAAAAAAAAGAGGCAGTAACCTCTGTTTTCAGCAATATTATAAGAATTCTCTGACGACAAAACATCTGCAAGCACTAAAAATGTATGAGTAATACACTTTCAAATGCATAACTCAGCTCCCACGACCATACGGAAAATTCTCGAACTGAAAACAACACAAAACCAGAACTCTTGGTGTGTGGATGCCCAAGCAGTCCGGGCCCACTCCAGTCTGAACAATCGGGGCTCAGTGCTTCCATGCCCATGGAGGAGAGGAGGCCTTGGCCCACGGGACAGGGAGCGGGACCGAGACCTCTACACAAGCTGGGGCCCTTGAAAGGCTGCTCCATCAGAGAAAGGGAAGATTAGAAAAAAAATCTCTGGCGCAGGAGGAAAACACGGGCAGTTGGCTCCTGGGCCTCTGCTCTAGGTGGAAAGGAAAAGCACATTCCTGGAGAAATTAACAACCAATAGGCCTGCCCTCACATGAGTTTGCAATTCAAGTTTACATTGCCCAAAGGGCCAAGAACCTCGATGCCGTGAAATTAACATGGATGTGGCTCTGGGCTGGCAAAGCCTCCTGGGGACAAAGACAACACTCCTGGGTTCTGTTTCCGGTAACACCAAGTCAAAGGGTAGCAGCAAGAGAAATCACTTTCCCACAGGAACTCCCGGAGCCACAGTTTGCCCGCCGCCAGTGGGTTTCCTCCCTTGTTTACCTCTGGATGACATGAGAGAAGCACAGTTCCGCCTGCAGGGGCCGCTGTAAGTTCTTCAGGCAGCACCCCTTCAGCAGCTTCAGCAGGCACTCGTCGTCCACCAGGTAGTCGCTGCAGTCTTAAAGCAAACACACAAACATCATGCACAAGCACAAAAATGCTTTTTCAAAATCCCAATTCAGAGGAAAGAACGGACACTAGCTATTGGGCTACAAAGGGATCATTTAAAAATAAAAATAAAGTTTTTAGCACGTGCTGTGCCTCACTAAATAAAACACAATGAAGTTATTTTAAATTAAGCGGATATTGAATTTACTACATTAGTTTAACACCATGTTATGAAGGGGTTCGCTCCGTCCACTTCAACCTTTTCTCAGGGGCTCATATTCTGAGTGATGTGCCCTTAGAACAGTGATGGAGAACCTTTTGAGCTCGGCGTGTCAGCATTTTGAAAAACCCTAACTTAACTCTGGTGCTGTGTCACATATAGAAATTTTTTGATATTTGCAACCATAGTAAAACAAAGACTTCTATTTTTGATATTTATTTTATATATTTAAATGCCATTTAACAAAGAAAAATCAACCAAAAAAATGAGTTCACGTGTCACCTGACACGCATGTCATAGGTTCGCCATCACTGCCTTAGAATAAGAGCAGAGTCTCTGAACTCTAAGTAAGGTGGGGCTGAATGAATTCCATAAAAGGTAAAGCCACGAGGAGCAGGAAGGCTGCGTCCTCCCGTGGTTCTGGCTTCTAACTGTGTTGGCTTCATATGGATGAGGACAGTACTTCCATATGGTGAAGCAGATGGCCTTCTACCCATTAACAATTCAGAAAGCAAATCCTGAATTGTTTATAATTTATCAATTCTCCCAGGCTATGTTCTTTTGGGGGGAAATTATATTATAAAATTAGATAAAATGGTTCTGAAGTACATGCAAGGCACCTCAGACCCTCACACACTTCTAACTGCTTGAGGCTAATGGAATGGTTTTCCTTTCGCCACTTTTCCCCTTTGGAGAAGGAGGCTTCGCCCCCCACAGCCCAAGGCTAAGGGTAAACAGAAGGAGCAATATTATGTGCGACATCTATGACAAAGGTAGCTGTTTCACAGCAACCACTTTTGAGTTTGGGGGTTTTTGCAAGTAAGATGCAACTAAGAAGTCATTCAAAGACAGACTGATAATTTACACATTTCAGGCTGTGACAACACTGCGGGGGAGGGGGGGGGGCTGATGAAGCGGGGCGTGCAAACAAAATTAATGAGGCCCTGGGAATCCTCATATTGAAGTCCTCCAGCTTTCAGAAAAAAAGCTCAGAAGCCACCCTTCACACATGCTGATGTTTTACTTCTTAAGCTGCTGTCTATGGGAGGTTAACGATGCTGTGTAACCAACTAAAAGAGGGTCCCTTTACTTCCAGGTGCTGATATTCATCTCTCACTCCCAAGCTCAGATGGCTCATTCGCCAAGAAAAATCACAGATATCAATACCACATTACCTTTCCTATGACTTAAGAACCATTTTTCTACCAAAGAGGGGGAAATCTATGTATGCTTCCAATCATAGATGCTCACTGAAATATGCATTCAAGAAACAGTATCTTTCCAGGCCTACAACCAAACCCTTAGGTTCCATGCTAGATGCTAGTTTTTAGCATTGCTTTTCTGCATTTTATCAGGTTCTCTGTAGGATTTTCGGACAGTGTGCGTTATAAGAAAATTCCGGTGTTCGGTAAACAACGGTTTTGCTGAGAGGAACAGCCTTAACACCATGCAACGCTTAAGTATCAGTAGAGCCACACGTAGCTTTTATTTAGATCATGAGTTAGGAATATGGGAAATAGGTTCAAAAATATCAACATTCCTCCAAAAACCTTAGGAAGCAAAACCATTATTTCTTCAGACCACAGAGCAACATCTGTCGGCTGATTATTTCCCCTTAAGATGTCAATGTCTATCACGATTCTCCAGCTCATGGGTGAGTTCACGGATGAACATTTCAACAGTTTCCATTTTACATTCCAAGGAAAAGATGATGCCGCCCAAGCACATGTTCATCACAAAAGATCTGCACTTTATAAAACAGAGGGTAGGCAGAGGAAAAAGAAGTGTGAGGCCCAGGCTACAAAAATGTCTACACTGAACATCTTAGAAGCTGGTTGAAATGCACCAAAGAAAAAAACTGAAAGTAGATTCAGAAAGTGAGAAGTTGTAAGGAATACTTTTCCTTTTCTGTCACTCTGATTATGTTTGCTATGTGATTTCAAGTTAACCACAACTAATAGTCAAACAAAGAGCTGGTATATTTATTAACTTCTGGCTCCATGCTGAATGTAGTTAGATTTCAAATGAAACGCTCCTGTAATTCATAGCAGACACTGACTCCAAGCATATCACACCGAGTATTTTTCTCCCTTTGAACAGTGCTGCCCCCTGGGTCTCTGTGACCAGCCTCTCAGACTATGGCACCGCCAGCGTCCATCACCTGCACCCTCTGCCATCCTTTACTTTAAAGACACCAAAGGTAGAAGCAAAAACACATTCATTCCTAGTCATGGAGGTGGAGGGGTGGAGATGGAGTCTGACCTCAGGTTTACAGCTTCACTCCACGTTCCAATTTGGGGTTTTTCCTCTTACTCAGAAGGACAGAAACCTAATTACTCAAAGGTCTTATCAGTAGTTCGGGGGGTAGGGGAGAGGCGGGTGTGTGTTGGGTAAACTTCCTGCATTAACAATGGACCTGGACGAGATCATCACCATAAATTTCATGTGTAACATCTGGCAAAGGGGATCTTCAGGAAAGGAACCAATTTTTCTACCCCGGGGAGGACATACAAAGACAGAGCTTGACTAAAAGTACAGTGTGTCTGTCTAAGTTTCCCCGGGCCCTGCTTGACTATTTCTGAAGCCTATCATCTCATCACGTCATTAAAAGAGGAAGGAATGGATGGAGACAGTGTCTTGGTTTTCTAAACCTCTATTGCATTTTACATGCACAGTCTGATACATATATTACTCCTTTAATGTTTTCTCCCAACCAAAGAAAGGACAAAATAAATTTGGGGTAGGGGTGAAGAGCCTGCCCACACAGAGAGAACCTAACAGTCCTCCAGGACTTCTTTAGACAAAGACCCTCTCTGCTGGTACACATTAGTCTACATCAGTGGTCGGCAAACTGCGGCCCCTTGAGTGTGGCTCTTCCACAAAATACCACGTGTGGGCGCGCACGTACAGTGTGATTGAAACTTCGTGGCCACACTCAAGGGGCCAAAGAGCCACATGTGGCTCGCGAGCCGCAGTTTGCCGACCACTGGTCTACATGAAAAGAATGGACATTCAAACATCAGAATTTATTCTACTAAACGCACGCCCTTTTCTTTGTAGAAAAACAGAAGCAAGCTGGCCTACTTCTCTGGACGAAAGAATAAGCTAAAAATGTTTTCATTTAATAAAAAAAGGTTTTCCTTTACTTCCCAGTTTTCACATATCCACTTTTTTGTTTATTTTTTAATCTTTATTGTTGAAAGTATTACAGATATCCCCCCTTTTCCCCCATTGACCTCTTCTAGCCTGCCCCCGCCCCCACCCCAAGCTTTCACCACCCTATTGTCTGTGTCCATGGGTTATGAATATAGGCATACAAATTCTTCACTTTTCCATTTAGTTTGTGGATATGTGGGATTTAGTTATAAACAATTTCTTTAACAGCAGAAACAGATGCTTTCTCTGCCTATCATAATTCTATATCTAGCAAGGAAATCTAAGAGTGTTCAAATGAGCAAATTAATAAAAGATGGCCAAATTAGTTGAACAAAAATGAATACTAATAAATTTGTTCAAAAGTCCAAATGGGCCCTAGCCAGTTTTTCTCAGTGGTTAGAGCGTCAGCCCTCGGGCCAAAGGGTCGCAGGTTCGATCCCCAGCCTGCTCGGGCACAAGTGGGAGGCAACTACTCAATGTGTCTCTCTCATGTTTAAGTTTCTCTCTTCTCTCTCTCTTTCTTTCTTTCTTTCTTTCTTTCTTTCTTTCTTTCTTTCTTTCTTTCTTTCTTTCTTCCTTCCTTCCTTCCTTCCTTCCTTCCTTCCTTCCTTCCTTCCTTTCTCTCTCTCTCTCTCTCTCTCTCTCTCTCTCTCTCTCTCTCCCTCTCTCCTCCCTTCCACTCTCTCTAAAAAAATAAAAGGAAAAATCTCACTTTTTAAATCCTCACCCAAAGATATGTTTTAGAGAAAGGAAGGGAGAGAGAGAGAAAAACATCAATGTGAGAGAGAAACATAGGATGCCTCCAGTATGTGCATGCCCTAACTGGGGATCAAACCCACAACCTTTGTGGTGTACTGGTCAACACTCCAACCAATTCAGCCACCAGCAAGCGCTGAAATCTCGTTTTTAAGGTGAAATTTCATAAAGTTTCATTTCCTTTAAATTCAAAATGATGTAACTTTATGTTGATTTTCCACTCAGAACAAAATATTTTTCCTTTTTGAAATTATTTTACATGAAAAATAGTAAAGTTCACCTCCCACCCATTAAGACGACTGCTACCAAAAAAAACAAAACAGAAAATAACAAATGTTGGCAAGGATGTAGACATATTAGAACACTTGTACACTGTTAGTGGGAATGTAAAATGATACACAGCTACTATAGAAAACTGTATAGCAGTAACCCTGAAACCAATATAAAATAATACTGAAAGTAAAGTATACAGCCAAAAAAAAAAAAAAGAAAAGAAAACTGTGTAGCAGTTTCTCAAAAAAATTAAAAATTGAACTACATTATGACCCAGTCATTCCACTTCTGGGCATATATCTAAAAGAATTTAAAGCATGGTCCCGAAAAATATTTGCCTACCAATGTTCACAGAAGTATTACTCACAATACCCAAAAGGTGGAAGCAACCTAAATATGCATCGATGGATAAATCGATAAAAAAAAAAAGTGGCATATGCATATAATGGTATATTATTCAGCCTTAAAAAAGAAGGAAATTCTGACACAGTACAACATGGATATACCTTGAGGACATTATGCAAAGTGAAATAAGCCACTGTTATGAAGCCTCTAGAGTAGTTAAATTTAGTATAGTAACAAAAAGTAAAATAGTGGTTGCCAGG